CAATCTTAGGCTTCGATTTGATTTCGATTTCTTTTCTTTTACTCGAATTTGCAGGCTTGAGGTTATCTCAACCAGATAATTTTGCGAGAGGATTGAAAATTTCTTCTTCGGAGTCGACTTTTTTTCTTGTGGTTTAAGACTTATTATTGGATCAGTCACATTTTTTTAATTTCTTGAAGGGATTTGTTTGTCACTCACCGTTTCTCCTCTTTGCTTACCTTTAGGCTTACAAAGACATCTTTTTAAAAAATGATAGTAGAACTTTCATATCGTTTTATTATCATGCACGGAATAAACAGAAATGCTGCGGCTAATTTAACATAAAGTGACGTGAACATATATATACACTGAACTGAATTATATATTTTCAAAATTTATAGAATGACAACTTTCTTTTGAACTGATCTATTGTAGAATGGCAATCTATTTGTTTAAATAGTACGACATTCTATTATTATACTTTGTCCTAAATGTATATATTGATATCAGAAATATAAATGTTATTCTATTTTCTTATAGTATTATATTATTTGATTCAACTATTTTGTGTTTGTTTACAAAATTCAAATCATAACATAAATTCATGGGATTTTTTTTTTTGAGATGATCGTGTTTTTGAGAAGCGAGAGTCAAAATAAAATATTGAGAGTCAAATCATTTCAACTGGACAACAAAAAACATTATAAATGTATTTAATAAAGAACTACCATTTAATTAAAATTAATAAATCCCTAAGTTATTTAACTAATTTTGGCTCAACATCGTCATATAAGCCAATTTCAATTAAATGTTGTAACCGGGAGAAGGATAATAGTTTAGAAAAAAGAAAATTACGCGGCATTCCGACAATGAAGCTGAATGGTAAATCTTCCAGATATTGGTATTCATCTTTCCTACAATCATTTTCTGTAAAAAAAACAATCAAGTGAATTTTTAGCCTATTTTCTCAGTAATTTTTAGAATTCAAACTGTTGAGATTTGGGAGACTTTCTATTTTTACACAAAAATACGAAATGAGAAAAATTGGGGAAAAAAAAAACAATCATCAACTTGATCAAAAACTCTTCTCTTCCTATCTTCCTTGAGTCGCAAGAAACCCTATAGTCCTGGATTTTTTTTCATCCCTTCCATTAATCTCCACATATCTTGAAAGATCCCATAAACACATATTATCTATAGAAACCTCTACAATTTTTAAAATTTAAGTTCTTGGATTTTTGCAGAATTTAAACCCATTATTTTGGTTGGGTGGATCCCAAAAAGTAACATTAGATCATTTCTTGTTTCACAAGGCAACTCCTATAAGAGCAAATTCAAACATGTAAAAAAAAGAAAGATAGGAGAAGCAAGAAAAGGTGAATTACAAATGGACAAAGTGCAGCAACAAGCAGATTTAATCGGTAAGAAGATATCTCCGTTTGTTGCTTCACAACCAACAAACGTCGGAGGATTAACTGATCAGAAAATCACCGGCAGTTCTCAGACAACACAAGCTCCATCAACCTCACCTCCTTCTCCTCCATCTCCAGAAAATGGCAGTGGCGGCGGAGGCGGAGGCGGATCACAATCATCTCCGCCTCCGGTAACGGTTTCTCCGCCACCGCCAAATCAGCCTGCTAATACAACACCACCTCCAACGCTTCCTTCTTCCCCTCCACCTTCTATAACTCCACCACCTTCACCTCCTCAGCCTCAACCTCCGCCTCAATCCACACAAACCGAAGATTTTCCGGTGGTGGT